GCTCATGCCCCGCCGCAGCAACCGTGGTATGGAACAACGCGCAGTAGCACAGGGTAGTGCGTAGTAGTTCCCAGTAGCCAGCCGTGAAAGTTGTGCGCAGTCAAAAACAGGCATAACAGCGAAGGCTGTCTCTACCCGGTCACAGTAGCCACACAGTCCCCAGCATGGCCTACAGCAACAACTAACAACTATAGTACGTAGCGGCAGTGTACCTGTAGTGGTTCGCACCCCACCCTTGTCAGCTGCAGTCTGCGCGCAGATGCTCAGTCCACAACCATAGTCCGAGTCTCGATGCAGCAGACAGCAGCCGCGGAAAATAACAGTGAGCACTGACTAACAGCAGTCAGCAGTGATCACAGCCGGCCGCAGACCCAGTCCGCTCGCGCCCAACAGCAGCCCGCAGCGGCAGTTAGTCAATCTAAAGTTAATTATCGGACATTATCCTCTATCCGCCTTGCAGCGCCATACCCACTCGCCAGATAGGTCGCTTCCCTGCCCAGGTAAGCTGTAGACTTCACAGAGACACCATGCGCGAAGCCCCTAGGCAACTCGGAGTATAACAACCACTAGCCTGCGCAGCGGTAAACGAGGGTAGCACAACAGTAAGCACATCGTAGTGATGGTCACACGTTGTGCAGCTAATGACACAGTCGTAGTAGTTCGTAGCCAACTGTGGCCGACTGTAGGAGTCGAACCGTGTATCAGAGCTGGCCACGATACCGCCGCTCAGGCTATAACCACCGCCACCTCAGTCTTCAGGCAGGTATACGCTCTGACTCCTTCAGCTGGTCGTCCCTCCCCCTACCTTTACTTCAGCCCTTCATCTTGAGCTCAATACCTAACCGTATGAGCAGCCCGGTTCCAACTTTGCGAAAACAAGGACCAAAAGGGTAACAATAAACACGTGGGCATCCGTGCCATCGCGCACATAGCGAACCGGAGGTACCACCACCGCGACGACGGACGTGTAACCGATATCACGAGTATGCAGCATTCCTGGTGACGCACTATGGAGGAAAACACTGTTTGTTGTGATCCTACGATAGTCGAGAACCAGAGCAGCCGTAAGTGCACATTCAGGACTCCAAGCACACACCTCTCTGGGGCGCAGTCTCCAATACTGATCCCGGGCAGATTACTAGCCTACAGCCAATTCCGACCCCGCCACCCGGTTCGCAATGGCCCACCACTTTGGATCAACCTTCGTGCTCTTTTGATTTCGCCCGGGACCGAGCAAGGATTACGTTACTCCCTCTTACCATGCCCGTCATCCACCATCTCCTTCCACAACCTTCCCGTCTTCTAACTTTTATCCTACTCCTTCATTATTAGGACTAACCTTACCAATCGGCTTGCTGTCGCCTCAAATCCCTATACTCAATCTTCTCCCGTCCGATCCTGTCCACCATCAGAGGCGCCGTGTACTTCCTCTTCCTCCCCTTCCCGCCATTTCCATGGTTTGCGCGCTCGTTTTCTCTACTCCCTACTCCCGCCGACTCTCGTACTAGGTGACTAGACAACCGAGATCGCCATGGTCCGAAATGCCAATCTGTTATCCTCTCGTGCTCGTTCTCACCTCCTGACGGTCAAAACCAGCCATCCTCCATACCTCTTCCTTGCCTCGCATGCCCTCCCTTACCTCGCACACACCTGGCGCGAAAGCGCGCCCCGACATACTCTCTCCTCTGTACCCGTAGTCCTTGCTTCCCCCGGCTCTGGCATGTCAGCGCCTCAACCTAGCACTCTTCCCGACTGCTCTGCTCAGCCCGAGGTGGAATCTCGGAAAGATCCGGCTACTAACCGGTTCGATTAGCCTCCTTCGCTTTATATCCCAGTCTTCTGACTCTTCACTATCCGCCCCGTCCACCACCTCCCTTGCCAGGCTACGGCCGGCTCCCCTCGTGGTCCTGCACTTCGCCCTTTTTTATCACTTGGAAGGAGACGCCGGATAGGAGAACTATCACGGCCCGCCTAGCCCTTTTGCGCTATGATAGCGCCTATATCATTCGGGACCTGAGAGAGTTGAGGCAACTGGTCAGTAGCAGCGGGGGGGTGAAGGGCAGTACGACTCCGGGCATCACACACTATCGGGCCAACCATGGACCGACAATCTGTCTGCTTACGAGTGCAGCCAGTAGTGTCGGGTCAAAAGCGGGTCTGAGACCCAAAAACAAAAAATAAAAATAACCCCCCCCCTTTTTCCAAAAGGGCGAAGTGCTAATCGGGGCGGGGTGGAGTTCTTCCGACTAACCCACAGTCTAGCCCCCCTACAAAAGCCAAGGGGGATAATTCAAAGAAACCCTCAACCCCTCGGCCGCTCCTATGCTCCTATGCCGTCGCCCGCCAGCTTCGATCCCCGTACCTCCGTAATGTAAGTCCAATACTGTAACCTATAGGGCTAAGCCCAAGCCTGATACTGAGGCGTGCGGTACCCCATATAACCAGGTGTTGCTCCGTCCCTAGGCCTAGAAAGTAGCCCGGCCCCCACCCTTCTTACTAATTACGCACGCTGTTGCTAAGCATCCGCCCTGGCTCGCCCCCTTTGTGTCGCGGTCGCCTTGCACCCCACTCCGTACGTAGGCCTACCGACGGTCTCGCGTCCCAAATAAGAACAAGCCCCTTACTCCTAGGGGCAAAGTTTCAGGCCGGCCAACCAAACCAGCGGCCCAATCGAACAGAAATATCACATGTGCGCCTCGGACCGCGCGCCCACTCACACTTTACTTTCGTCAACCATCCCGGTAGTGAAGTCCAAGAGGCCTAGCTGCGACCTGCGTGATATACTTAGACCCTCGCCCTTACTCCCTGTCACATGCAAAAGCTAGGGCGGATACCCTTGTCAGGGTATTCGCACCGACAGCTTACCGGACCATATTAAGCGACGTCCCCGTCGCTTCGCTAGATCAAAAGCTACAAATCCATCCACAACTCCAAATGCTGACGAGAAAAGAACCAATCCGATTAGCCGACAGACTCAGGGTTGAGGCCTCCAACAATCCAAGCCCTTCTAACTATATGCCGCCAGGGTTCCAACCTGGGTCTCCATTGCCCTAACACTAGGACGCCGGTGTACTGGACATACGTACTACAGCATAAGTCTCAGCGGCCCCTCTTACCTGTCCTCTCCCCTTTGTCATAGACAACCGTCGGCTTCTCGTTAGGTGTCCTTGGTCTCTACCCTGTGAGCAAGATTTTGACCAAGGATGCGGGCCCTAACCGAGACCTTTAGAAGGCACTCTCACCTTCTTCCAACAATCATCACAATCAAATATATACATACGTATATATACATACCCTACCTCATTACACCCCCTGCAGTCTAGTACAGGAAGGCTACATCTCCATCTTGGCCCACCGTAGTCTAGGTGATTGTGCCAGGTCTACGACCCACTGCGTTTGTTAGTTTAGCGATTGTGCCCTCGCAGGTTGCGCCACGATAGGTTTTTTTCCTGATAAGCATTCAATCAGGACTCCAAAAAGACTTGACACGACTCCTATCCCACACCGGTCCGCAAGAGTAAAACCCTCCTAGGTGGCTACACCCCTTTAAGTCTTTACTCCCTCGGCACGACGTAGGCCCGCTGTTCAGGTTATGCCGATCAGCAGCCGACGCTAGGAATTGCACCCTAGTGATGCTAAACTTCACGTTAGCTTGGTATTCTCATAAATGCCCCAAGATTAGCACATGTGGCTGGGCGGTGTGTCGCAACAATACAGACCCACTGCGGGACTACGCAGAGACCTGTCACACATAAAAGGTATTTACCAGTCCTCTTGTGGGACAACATAGAGACACATGGCAACCTCTCCACATTTACAAAACAGAATCACTGCCAGACTCACAAGGCTGTGACTGCCCTACTTGATCAGAGCAAGAAAGCCACACACCCTAGTGACACCTCCCGAATAAAACCATTTGCGACTTCTCAACAATTCTCAACAGTGGCCAAACAATAAACATGCTCCTTCTCGTCAGACTTTATCATTCCAACCCAACTTACCATGCCACCAAATCTAGTCGCCACCATTCATACGAGGGAGGTCTCACCCCATAGGTCCCCCAGTCATCCCTCTCTCTCTAGGATGAACTTCCTTAGGACCTCTTTATTCACACATCTTCCTTTTTGAAAGAAGAGCCTTCCAACATGCAAAGGGCTGCCTTCTAAAAAAACAGGCACCTTTACCATAACACAACTCACACTTGAGAGACCAACTTATGGGTCCTCACCACAACTCAACAATATATATCTGGCATGGCAAGCATCTGAGTCTCAAGGACTCACAGATCCCTTAGGATCCTCACACTTTCACGAAGACAAACTGCGCTTCATCTCCTTATACCCTGCTCTATCACCCGCCCGAGGGCAGATCGCATGAGTATACCGAAAAGTAGACAGTTCACATACATTCCATTTGCAAGGTGCACAACATTCACAATGTTTTCATACATCTTTCACACAAACCATCATACATCAGGATAAAACCACACATGTGAGAGTGAGCGTGATCGTCGCGTACAAAGGGTAACCTCCAATATTACTGAACTCAGACATATACTCAGGGATGAGATATCTCACCCTAAAATACCCAGTAATAATATCATCTCATGACCCACACAAAACAACTCATGTCACTCTGAGTATAGCACATGGTCAACTGTACAAGAGAGTCATCAAAGCAACTTAAAATTATACTGTCACATAGTGTACACACCCTATTTTACATGATCCTAGTCTCAGTGGCCATCCTATGCTGTAGCCCCCGTCTGTACACTCAACTACATAGGTTTCTACCTGCTCAAGTAATGGTAAGGCTAACAGAAAGCATCCATCTCTACTCAGGAGAACCAGACCCTACTCACTCATCTCCTCTTGGTTCTGCCTGTACAATTGAGCTCTACCCCCATCGGAGGATCACTCTACTATCCTACCTTGTCTATCATACATCTTCCCACCACTTTCCAAGACCTTTCCTTCTGCCAGATCCTTCAGAAACTTGGGACACTGCAGAGCCCGGTGCTACCCCTTCGTGCAAAAGAAACAGGTCGAGTCAAACGACTTTCTCGGCCTCTTCTTCTTTCACTGGGGTCCTGGCGATGATGGAGCCTTACCGACATCTCTCTCCAACTCATAACTCTGAGGCCTGTCCATGGGTTCCTCCGGTCCAGTTTCCAACTCTCGAGGACTAGGCCCTGATCGTGTCCCAACTTCCTCTGGCATATACTCAGGAGTGTCCAATCTCTGGGGTCTGCCTTCGATGATGCCTTCCATTGCCCCTCCCATCTCACTCTCAGGAGGCTCTTCTATCCTAGGCTCTGGCGAAAATAAGCTCGTGCCCGCTTGCATAGTGTGTACCGCCTCCAGCAACGCCTCCATAGACCCTCCTGTTGAGCCCTGGACTGGCTCGCCGCTGGCTGCCGGTAGTCCCTCCTCAACTGAAGGTGGCATGGTAGGGTCCACTGTTACCGTGGGCAGCATAGCGAGCTCAGTGGGAGCTCTGAACTCGAAGGCTTCCCTCTTTGCTTCCCTCTTGGCCTTTGCCTCCTCAGGCTCCAAAATGACTCTCCCCATGGGTGCTTCTTGCCGAGGATCAGTCGCGGGTGGCTGCTCTGGTACGCCACTTCCTGACTGCCTCTGCTCTCCCTCCCAGCTGCTCTTTGCCCCATCCACACCGCCTCGACACTGCTGCCTCAAATCCTGAATAATGACGGCCTGACTAGTCACCATGACCCTGAGCTCGCGGACCTCCGCCTCGACGGCCTCCAATCGTGCCTCAATACCTGTTTCTCTCAACTCCTTTCCTCTCAGATCTTCCTCCAACATCATATATCTGTCGAAGGAGGTCTTGGATTGGGAGCGGATCCTCCAATCCAAGTACTCATCTGCCTTCCTTGAGGTCTCGATTTCTGCCCTGTCCTGAGCCGTTAAACTCTTGCCGTATTGCTCCAAGAACTCTTCCCATATCTCCTTGAGTCCATACAGCCTGTAGGGCGGGGGTGGATCTGGGAGCGCTCCTGCCTCCTTCAATCTCTGCCTCTCCTGGCCAATCTCCTCCCATCGTCTCTCCATTCTGCCCCTCTTTTCCTCAGCCGTTTTCCCTGCGTGTACTCTCTCCACTGTGCGGCGGTCGGTCTCCTCTGGGACCTCTGCTCCCACCTCTCTCTCGGACTGACATGGCTCCTGAGGCAGCTCCACAGGCATGGGCTCCTCTAGATCAGGAAGCTCCAAGGCACGAGCGGCCAGATGGTTGTCAATCAAGGTATCTGCTTCCCTTCTCAGACTGAACCTCTCAGTTTCACCTTCCTCCATTTCCTCTGGAAACGGGACTGTCTCTGGCAGTGCTGGTATGACTCCCTCTTTCTGTGATTCCTCCCCCCTGCTGGGTGCGCCCTCCGACGGGCTCTCAAGCCTCAGTCCCACGCCTGGCGTTTGAGGAGGGGTATCCTCCTCAACCTCTATAACCTCATCCTCAGCACCGCCTTCCCCAGCACTTGGTCCTTTCTCTTGTTCAGGGCTTGAAACTTTTCCTCGTGGCACCGCTTCAACTGGTTCAACGTGCCTCTCACTCATCGGTGGTACTCTCCACTGGGTGACGTCCAGATGGGCCTCCAGCTCCTGCAAGGGCCCTCCAGATGCTGGCACCTTCTCCTGCGTGTGCTGTGGAGATCCCCCCAGTCCCCCTCCAGTAAAACGATGAAACTCCACTGGTCCCAATCAGCACTCGGGGTATCCCCCTCGCCTCTCTGCCTCAGGCATTGTCTCCTCTTCTCGCCTAGCGAGCGCCTTTCGCCCTCCTCGCGAGGGTCTGGCTTCAACGGGCTCAGGATCTCTCTGTCTGCTGCTCCTTAGGCGTCTCTCTACTCTGGGCTAAGGCGGCTCTGGTCGTCGGAATGCCGCTCTCAAATGTGCCCTGCAGCCCTTCCAATCTCGGACCATATCCTTGATCTGTCTGGCTAAAGGCCTTTCCGCTTTGCGAGTCCATAGGGGTAGTGTCGTTGCCCACTTGTCCCTCAATATGCCCTAGTTGTGCATGAACTGTTCGAATGCAGGGATGAACTCCTCTGCATTCCCAATCTCCAAGCGAATAGGCATGCCATCCGGTCCAACAGGTGATGGTCGTAGTTCCTGCATCCTTGCCTCCACCTCTGACCTCGTCCTCGCCTCCCTACGGATCTGAGCGATGGGCTCTTCGAACCTGCCAACGCCCCTCAACCTCTCAATCGTCTGGGTCACGGTCCATCCCATATGATCAGCGTATCCCCAACACTCGTCCAAGAATAACTCAATATCCCCGTCGTCGTACACTGGCGTGCTCGTTCGGTGGTAAGGCCTATGTCGCTCGTATCCTCCTGAAGCTCCCAACGGCCTCCGTGACGGCCGTGTCCCCCTCCCTCCCTTTGGCATGGCTTTCTTCGCAAAGTCAGATCTGCACAACAGGCGAAGGAGACAACAGGCACACGCTGGGGTAAGCAGACAAGCGATAAGGAGGCAAACTCAGGCCAAACCAAGCATATGCATCAGACAATCCTTCTAGCCTGCTACTTCGTCTATCCAACTCTAAAAGAATTGGATCGTCTATCTCACCTCTTCTCTTGCCACGAACTTCTTCAGTCTGGTTTCTGACACCCAGTCCTTCAACTCTGTTCCATTTAGCTGCTCAATTTGGTATGAGCCGAACTCTCCACATCGCACGATCCGGTAGGGACCTAACCACCTTTTGTCAAGTTTCCTGGACCATTGTTTTTCCAAGGATGAATCGTATAAGAGTACGATATCCCCAACTGCTAAGGGTACCTTCCTCACCCGAGCCGATTGATCCCAGCGGGCCTTATCATCCATACGACTCCTTTCCACTCGACTGGATGCCTCCTGGACCCTTTCCTCAATCGCCCCCACTTGCCGTGCTCGAATATCGAGCAACTCTTCGAAAGACAGATTGACCTCCAAGTCCTGGCGCCTCCAAGTCTTCAAGAAGCTCTCGATCGGTAAGGTAGCGTGTCTTCTGTACCATAGCGTGGTCGGTGCGTACCTAGTGGTCCTTTTCACCGTAATATTCTTGACGAAGAAAGCTGCCCTCAGATACCTTGGCCACTGACTTGGCTTACCTTCAGTCCATTTGGCCAACAGAGCCGTAATGGTACTGTGTCCTCTTTCCACTGGAGCATTCGCCTGGGGGTGCGCGGCCGTGGTGTAGTTAACTACCACACCATACCGTGACAATAACTCTTGCACCTCCTGACAAGTGAATTCCGATCCCCTATTCATCACGAACTTTCTGACGAAAGGATAGCGCAGATAATACTCCTCGATGCAGCTGACTAGGACTGACCCAGTCTTCGCACGGATGGTCCGCCCATCTACGAAGCCAGATAGGTTGTCGCGCTCATCGAAGATGTAGTTATAGCCATGATCTCCAAGGGGCATGAATAGTAAGTCGAGGTGTACTACGGCCCCTACTTCCCTTTCCAGCCTTGGATGCAGTGACTCTCCAGGCCTTAAACGAGACCGCTCTTGACAAGGTACGCAGGATCGGCAAAACTTACCAACCATCTCCATCATCCCATCCCAATAATACAACTCACTTATCTTGGCATATGTGGCAGCAATCCCCCGATGTCCTCCCGCAATGCCATCATGAAGCGCAACTATGACGTCGATCTCGCGGTTCCGTCTGCATATGACTCTCCTTGGATTCCCTACCTGCCTCTTTACGAAGAGATGACCGTCTCTCACCAAGTATCGATCCCTCATCATTTGAGCCCTATCGCTTGCAACTTGCATCCCTGTTTCGCATCTCACATGACAGGAGAAGTCCCAACTCCAGATAGATCCCATCATACTCCTCTGCATGGAATGCCTCTTTGATCTCTCCTTCTTCAAACTCGTCATCCTGACTTTCCAGTACATCATCTCCTCTCTCAGCCGGATTCAGCGAGCTTTCCAAGTCAAAGGACTTCTGCAGGAGCGTATTGACGAGGAGGTACATCCCTCCCATCAGTTCCTCATGCCTCCTTACTTGGTCTGGACCTTCTTCTATCGATATCACCTCTTCCACTAGACAATGGTTACCTGCGAGCGCCAGCTTTGCCATCCATTGGACGTCCTTGCTACCCTAGGGGTCTTCCTCTTCAAACGGTTTGAGCACCAGCTCAGCCTTCCGCTCATACCCCTTTGGCGCATGCCAAATGGGATGACCAACGCAGCTAGGAACTCGCGGGGACCACTTATTGATGTGAAGACGAATGTCCTCTTCCTGGTCTAGAAAGCCATCAACTGGGGGCATATCTTCTATAGCCTCCCCTTCCTGTTTGTCCCAGTTGATGCGGCTTAGTCCATCTGCTCTGTTCTTACTCCCTGGAATCCGCTCTAACTCGAAATTAAACATCCAGATGTAGGTCAACCATCTGGCCACCGTAGGATCGGATGGAACATAGTTCCTTAGGGAGAAAGCTAGAGTTGTTGGATCTACCCTTAGTATGAACCTCCTGCCAAAGATGTAGTTTCGAAAGATCCGCTGACAATGAAGAACAGCGAGAGTTTCCCTTTTGAATTGAGAGTAGTTCCTCTCTGACGTACATAGTGTTCGACTCTCACAACGCAGTGGTCTCTCCTTTCCTTCAATGTCCGCTTGGATTAGAACTTCACCCAACGCAGTTGGTCCTGCATCTGTCTCCACAATAAACGGCCTCGTCTCGGTGGCGTCATAGTCTGGCGCCCCCAAAACCAACCCTCATTCTCGAAATTCCTCTTTCATTCCTGCCACAACCCTCTCTTGGTCCTCACCCCAAATCCACTCCTGATCCTAACGAACCAGCTTCCTCAATTGCTCAGTCTTGGCAGCAAAGTTCTTGACGAAGGTCCACCAAAAGCCACACGTGCCAAAGAAACTTCTAACATCCGTTATTGATTGAAAGGGTACCGGCCACTCGACTATCTTATCCGTTTTCTTAACATCCGGCCGCCGACCACTCTCATTGCAGACGAATCCCAAGATGGTGACTTCTCTCATGCAGTGCTTTGACTTGGCACCACTAGCCGTAAGGTTGTACTCCTTAAGCAGGCCCAGGACTTTGTCAAGATCCTGAACATGCTTCCAGACAAAACGCCTTACTCCTGGCAGGACTTCATCGTCTTCCCTTCTTCTTGGTCCTTTTATTGCCAAGTCGTCAATATACGGCTGCGTGATATGCGGGCTGACTGTCTGCATGACCCGAATCATGTGTCTCTGGACCATTGCCACAGCATTCGTCCACCTTTGTGGAGCCACATTCATGTGTATGAGTCCCCGAGGCGTATGGATGGCGGTCACAGGCTGGTCTGGCGGGTAGACCGGAAACTGGTCATATTCGGAGTAAAGGTCAATAAGTGAGATTATCGGCCTTCCAACACACGACTCTGACAGCGCATCTGCGTTTGGCAACCCTCCTGCGTCCCGCACGGTCACCACATTCAACCTTTGCAAATCCTGCACCCACCTCAGCGTCCCATTAGGTTTGATGAAATAGAACCATGGGGATGCGTAGGGTCCGCTCGAATAGTCGGCGACGTGCATACGAATCTTGCCGTCGAGATAATCCACCACCTTCTTCTCTTCGTCAGGATCGGGATATCGCGTCCCTCTTAGGTTCCATGGTTCGTGCGGCACGGTGTGGATGCGGATCATTGAGATCTTGTCTACGTCCAACCTGCTGCGCTCCTCATCGTTGAAAGCATAGGCGCGATGCCTCTTCTTTATTAATTCCACCATCAATGTCCTTTCCCGGGGCAGTAGGAAGTCCGGTTCTCCCACTATCAGTTTCCCCTCATTCTCCTCATTAATACGACATGACCCCTTCGACGCACTCTCTTTCATTTGCCGTATCAAAGCTCGCTCCCGTTCATAGTACACCTCCTCATCTTCGGTGACAAGAACGGGAACTGGGCGACACTTTTTGTCTATCGTCTTGTACCGCCTTTGGGCACCCTGCTTGAGCCGTCCCCTAAAAAAGGCTGGCTTGCCGCTCGCGCCTGCGCATGTGCCACGACAGGGTTCATCCCCCCCTTAGGAAGCCGACATACCAACTCCATTTCCCCTACCCGGGGATACTCCAGGACCTGTTCTCTCAGTGCCTGAATGGCGTCTGGATCAGCCATTTCGTGCGTGACCACTATGTCCATGACCTTGTTTACGTCAGACAGGCTGAGCGAGAACGCTTCTCCTCCTACTTCCTCCTCGGGCTCTGCCGTAAGCCTCTGATGTTCCTCTTCTGACTCCTCGATCGTAAAGGAGTCAGGGTTGGTCCTGTTCCTGAGGCTTCTTGGTCCAGTGTTCCGGCAGGTGATTACCTCATAATTCCCACACGCCGGATCACATAAGATTAGAATTAGCGACCCATTATGCTTGTTATACATCAGGGTCTCCGTCCTGCACAAGAAGGACCTCCCCAGGAGGATGCTATGGTCTACATCCGGCATCACGAAGAAGCACGCCCTTGCCTTTACCCTGCCGATCTCCAGTAGCACATTCGAGGTGGTTCCGCAAAATACGGCTTTGTTATTGGCCCCATGCAGAATGCCGCAATCCGAGCGGTCTATCTCCAGTCCAAACTTGACGGCGCCAGCCTCTCGAATGATATTCATTCAGCGCCTGTATCTACCATGGCTGTGCACTTGGAACCTTTTACCGCCAGGTCCACCATACCACAAGCTACACACGTCCAGTCCATCTTTGTTCCGGGTTCTGCACATTCCATCTCCTTAGGCAGAATCACGCTGAGGTGGACGTTTGGCACCAGCTGCCTCGACAATCTACCCTTTAACTCATTGCGGAGCCTTGGGGCGTATGCCAGGATCTCCTTGAGGGTCATCAGGTCGTTATGGCCTTCAAGTAGTCTGTCAATTACTCGTTCCACACCGAACCCTTCCTCTAACCAGACCGCATACTTCTTTTTCTTGGGCGGTACGTCACGCAGGACCAGTTCAGATTCCTCTCGGCTTTCCCTCTTCCGGGCCCTTTGCCCCGCCCTCTGATCCTCTTCTTGACGCAGATTATCATCCTCGTCTTCATCCTCGTCTTCATCTTCGTCATCGTCCTCTACCTCCACTGTTTCCTTTCTCTTCCTGGGCTCAGGCTCTTTTCAGGGAGGTTCCTGACTTGCACTGGCTTTGGCCTGACCCCGAGTACGGGCGGCCTGTGCCAGTCTCCCTTGTGGTGTAGGAGGTCTGGTCATCATTCCAGATCGAGGGCCTGATCCCAGAGTAGCCACTCCAGGTCACCTTGGCATGGATTCCGGGCTAGAATCATAAAGGAAGACCTTGGGGAGGTTGACCTTCCACTCCTCTACTTCTTCGCAGAGGCCTACCAACTTCCGAAGGTATCTCCCTACCTTGTCCAGCAAGTCTTCCATCTTTCCTAATAAGACTGCCACCGGTTCTGCCTTTTCCTCTTCACTCTCGTCATCTGACTCGATGACTATGGGCTCCTCCTTTATGTCCCCAGCTCGTAGCCTCTGAGTCACTTCCTCGTCACTTCCCACTTCCTCTATTCCAATTGGTGGGTCTTCTCTCTCCTGCCATAACCTGAACGTGGCAGGGGGTGGTTGTCGTGCTGCCAGTCTTCGCTGGGCTTCCGCTCTCACTCCGCCAGCCTTCCTGTCAATAAACTCTCCGAACTGATCATATATGTCTCCATCCATGTTGGAGTAGATCAGCCCATTTTTCTCATCTTCTCGTCTTATGTTGCAGAACCGTATAGTGTGATCTTGCTTGTCACAATGCTGACATATAGCGGTCCTCCAATCAAAGCGGGTTCTTCCGCCCTCTTGGTTACCTTGGCTGCCTTGGCTACCCTGATTTCCCTGGCCTTGGTAGCCTTGGTTACCCCACTGACCTCCTCGGCCACCGCCGTTCCTGCCGCGCGCCTCCTCCATTCCCTTGGTTCCCTTGGTCTTGATTGCCGCCAGTCGCCACACTTCCTTGTGAACTTTGAGTAGGCGTTGAAGGTGGCACCGAGGGTGGAGCCTGGGCGGCGGGGTAGCTGGGCGGCGACATACTTGTTTGGGGCCCAGCGTAGGGTATTACCGGTCCAGAAGGTGCCGGCCCTCACCGAGGCACATACATGTTGATTACGGGCCATGGCCACTGCCCGAACGGGGGAACTGACGCTTGTGATGGACCCGCATTACTTGAGGGTGCCGATGTACTTGGGGAGGCAGCTGCCACTGCTTGGGGTACCTGCCCCTTCCCAGAACCTTGCCCCCCTTGTGCTAAATTGCGCTGCTTGCACTGCGCCTTTGTGAGATGAGGAGGTACCGGTTCCTCTTCTTCCCACCCTTCCTGGGCCGCCTCCTTTAACACGGCTTCCTTGGCCTTTCCTTGGATCGTCGTCGTCACTTTCCTTTGTATCACTGAGTCTTAGTCCGTTAGTACGTTGGTGATAATCTTTTTCACCCCGGTGTCCCAGACGCTGAGGCGTCCCTCTCTTTCCTTTTCTGCCTTTGCAGGCGCACCTGGTGCTGCTCCACCTGGTCTAGGCTTTCATCCTCCACCCCTTTGTCGATGGCAGCCCAGGTGAGTTTCGCGTTCCCTCCCCCATGGCTCGTTAGCTCGGAGGCCTCTGACGCGGTGAGCAGCCCTAGGAAGATGGCGCACTGCGCCTCCTCTAATATCCCATGAACTTTCCTCACCCTTTTCTTGAACTCCTGCAAGAAGGCTCCGATGGTGGTGAAGTCATCTTTGTTCATGGCCTCTAGATCTGCCGTGGTCAGCAGACCATCACCCAGTCTGTAATTTCTCTGCATCCCTTCCCTGAACTTGGCCCAATTGTCGTTGGCGTCGTCAACCACCTTCTGCACCTCCTGATGGTGCCCATGGAGTACATACCTCATGATTCGTTGGAACTTCACCGTGTCCGTCAATCCCACTAGTGCTTGTTCAACCAAGTCCAACCAGTCGGACACTTGTTCTCCTTTGAAGTGAAAGGTGTCAACTTTGGGGACATTACTTGGCGTTCTTTCCCGCTTGTCCATCGCCTCGATGAGATCGTCCAGGGTCAGGACTTTGCCCGAACTGTCGCCTATGCCTCCCGACATACTGGCAGTCTGCTCTTCACTTAACTTTCCTGTTACAAAAAAAGGAAAGAACCAAACTTCACTCAGCACCTTTACCCATCATTATCCCATCGAACTAACCTCTTATCCCTTAGGCACTTTAGACTCAGCCGTCACTGTCACTCACTTCATTCCCAGACTTACTCCCATGAAGTCTATTCTCCCTTTGAGCCTTCTGCATAATCATATTAGCCATACATATAGCCATACAATCCTCGTATAGTCCTACTCATAGACTTACTTCAGATCTTCCTATTCATGCCTGATCTTCTCCTTACTTTAATACCCGGATGTCGTTCCACCAGGGACAACGGCAGACAACCGTTATCCCTGACAACGACGCCACCTGTCGACCGCATCGGCCCGACACTACACAAAGGCAGCGCGGGGCCCTCCCGGCCGCGTCACGCAGGAGTCGGTCTAATCCTCGTCGCGAATATATAAATGGAGCTTCTACAAGCCGCTCCGGTCGAGTGCGCCAACCATACCTCTCGCGAGCCCGTACGACAGGACAGGGCCTACGCGAGGCACGACTTACCTCCACCTTACGGGAGCTGTCACCTCCCTTTGGTGGGCGTATCCCCGCCGAGCTACCAGTCCACAGTACGAAAGCTGATCATCTGCAATCGCAGAGGTGGACCAGCCGAGGGCGTTTCTCGTTCGCTGTAGCATAGGGGGTACGCGCGGTAGTATGCCTCTATCGAACCCACACGCGAACCGGCATCTTGGGGGCTGAGGTCCCAAGCGCGACTCGTCGCAGGTCGACTAGGACGCATCCCACACGCCACGCGCACACCATTCTAAAGAACATAAATATAAAACACACCCTTACCATACACACGGAACGACACAACATAACCAACGCGACAACGCTCCTAGTCCCTCGGTAGCCTTCCCATAACTCTCTGATGCGGAAATCGGATAGGCGTCGCGCGCGAGACTTGGTATAAACCCGCACGAACGCAGAGCCTTCTCATATCGGTTTGCAATGCCAAAGTACGCAAGTAGTCGCGAAGATGGTGTGCTATGTCGTACCCATAATCATGGGGCCCTGGGTAATATACGAGGGTCATCTCCGACACTCAAGTGCCGGCTGACACGCGCCTTGCGGGGTTAATCTCTCGGCGCTAGACAACCTCCATGCGCGGTTGAAGACCACACACCCTCTTCTGCACCCTATGCAGAGTGGGTGGTACAAAGGCTCATACCTTTGGTGGCAGCTGTTTCTTACCGCCCTTGAGATGAGCCCCACTCCAGGCCCGGACACAAGTTAAGGGGTTTGACTTTGACGGCTGCCACGGACTACAACGTCCAACCATAATAATCCTAAAAAGCAAATCTAGGCCGAAGGCCTCCCGAACCCCGAAATCACAAACTTGGGTACCCCGCTTTGCTTTCGGTTGGCACCACTGCCTACTCCGCTGCCAAACACTTAGGCATACGTATGAATCCATCGATCCCATAACTGGAGTCGCTAGGACGGCGAAACGTCGTGCACAAAATTTTGATATAAGCTGCGAGGCCGCGGGCCCGTTCTATACCAACCAGCGATGCTAATTATAAGCGATAGTCGCAGTCTAGGCCTCGCGATATTGAATGGATGAAGGAATATATCGTGGGGGGGGTTACCCCTCACGATATTGAACGACTGAAGGACGTGCCATTCAGCTCCCGTGACATCTCTGCCCTCTGGGTTAGGTGTCTCAGCGGGCAGTGCAGATAGGCTCTGTGCGAGGGGAGGCTCCCTCTCTGCAGAACCTAGGGCTTGGGATATCATGGACAAGGACCTTGAATCCCGGCCCTGGACCAACGTCCGACCAAGAAATCAGAGAAAGTATACAAGCAAGAGGGAGGGGTTTTCTGCCTACCTCTCCCCTATTTATCCCTTAATACGCTGGCCCCTTGGGCCATACGAACCTCCCACGTAGGTATACACACACACACACACATATATATATATATATATATATATATATATATATATATATATATATATATATATATATATATATATATATATACAAGGGGGTAAATATGTGACGATCGCTTCTCACAATCAAAGTGGGGCTCCTCACAACCATATGTATATGTGTGATCGCAGGCAGTCAAATCCAAAATCCAAACCACAAAACATACCTGCAATCACATCAAAAGTCCAACAAGGCCCACGCACTACACGAAGTCAATCCCAACCACTCTCTGTACTCATACCCCTCGCTTTAGCCATGCAAGCCCCAACCTCCGGCCAGCCAACCATGAGTGAATACTCAGTACCTTTGTTAAATGGCCATTCAAGAAAAGTCCGGGTGAAACCTTAACAAAACAATAAAAACCACCAGGGCTAAGACCTTTTTTGGTTGAGTAGGGAGGGCGAGTTGGAATTGAGTCGTAAACCGACGAATCGACAACCAACCTGTTATCAGTGATAACAGAAGGTGATCCTCGTAGGATCAACCTGAATCTAGCCCAAGTCCTGAATCAATCGATCAAGGAGACCTGTAACACAAGACAGACCAATCTCAAGCTAAGTCTATAAGTTCATGGAGAGTAATCTCCATATCACGATCTTACTCAAGTCATCATACTTAACTAAGTCTAAGTCTACAACTTAGTCTAAGTCTACCTCTAATCAGTGCCAAAGCAAAGGTAGACCATCACATAGTCTCTCCTACATACGTCGCCACCTGTCGAAATATAAGCTAACTCCTCTAATTTAGGAAAATTTCGGCAGCGCTTCCCGTAGGAAAAGTGCTATCGCAGAAAATATACTAGCCCAAAAGTCAAACCTTTGGATTCCAGAAAGTCAAAGTTTGTCTAACTCCATGACTTAGCAAAACTTTGGGCTGCACTTCCTTTAGGGAGGAAGGTTTCCCAGACTTATACCAAGTCAGATTTGAACTTAGACGTAAAGTCTAGGGTCTGTTAAGGCATGATCTCAACCAACTTCTTAGATTTGAAGAAATTTCGGCAGCGCATTCCGTAGAGAAAGTGCTAGTCCAAGATTTATACAAAACTAAGTTTAGAATGTGACATGACTTTGACCCTTCATGGCCCAATTTCGGCTAACTCCCTGAATTAGCAAAAATTTGGGGAGCACTTCCCTTAGAAAAGGAGACTCCCCAGATTCTTACTAAGTCAAAAAGTCATCAATACTGGATCCTGAGGAAGCCAAAGTTTTGACTAACTCCTTGGTTTTGTAGAAATTTCGGCAACGCTTCCCGTAGGGAAAGTGGCTTGCCAAAATTTATACAAGACCAAGTATAAATAAAGGATCCCAGAAGATGCAGAAATGGATCCAAGTAGAAAAACGAACTCAGAAAATGCAAGAATTGAAACTAATTCTTATGGCTCTAGCACGTGGCGAGCAACCACACCAACTACATATCAAACTGAACTTAGACTAAGCAGTGGCATCACTCAGTCACATGCAGGCCAAACCACAAAAGTAAACACTCTCACCACCCCCAAAGTTAACTTGGCAAACAGTAGTTCATAGTCTTTCAGTGCTTTATCCCCTTGTACTCAGCTTACATAGGGCATAAGGCTAGACCACCCAAACTTATGAAACATGTCTAGCCCAACCAAGAAGTATACACAGACAAAGGGCACAACAACTTTTCTCTTCTTTGGGCATGTGACTAGGTCATCCTAGTCGCCCCGAACTGTTTAAATATCCAAGATTTATATTATTGTCTGCATTTAGTCTTTTGAGGTAACATATAGCTGAGCCGATCATCTTCAGCTCAAGACTCAGCCTGCCCCTTCGTACCATAAGTTTTACTCTTTAATTAATATTCTCTTCCGTTGGTGATAAACTATAGTCACGCCACCCAAACTTATGGAACCTTGTCTGACTAGCCTGTTCATAGATAGTATAATAGTAGAGTATAACAAAGTTATAACCTTCTGGTTCCAGCATGTGTGAGGCATTGGGCCAAGACCACCCAAACTTATGGAACATGTCTCGGTCCTCAGTCTGGTTCATTTCTCTCAAAGCCAAAGCAGGAAGAGGGTGAGTCACCCAAACTTATGGAACATGCTCACCTCCTCGTTCAGAAACTAAGGAAACTGCTAGAAACCCAAATAAACAAGGCCGCCAGACTACCCAAACTTATGGATTTGACTGACTTCTGAAAACACAATCACATTCAGCCCTCACAAGTCAGAGCAACCAAACCACCCAAACTTATGGAACATGTCTGCTTCTCCAAACGATACAAAATAAAACATGACACTTGGCCTTCCCAAACTTATGGAACTGGCCCAGTCCTTGGTTGACCCGGTCAAACTTCATGCAATACTGCCGTTCTCCCACCCTTCCCCCAGATGCAATTCCGCAATCTGCTTTCAATCAGACAAAGAAGCTGAAACTTACATTATACATGCTTTCCTTTATTTAGTCTCGTTATGTCCTGAATAAAAGCAAGAATCATATAAACAGTCTCATGCATACGTTAGCCAGACTAATGAGGGATAGGCAAACATGGGTGATATGGGGTCGTACAAATAAAAAAATGATATACCTGATGGTTCCCTGCCTCTAGAACCTCGCCTAGGTTCCGGCAGAGCTCCTGCAATCGGTGGGTGGACTCCCCACTGAGTCTTGATGCGGTCCTACGGGTTGTAATCCCCCCTGCCGCCTTCCCCTCGTAACCAACAGACTAGACTTAGAGTAAGAAGGGTAGATAAAGAAAGTTTTGAGACTCTTAGATCCAAGGAGGGTGCACTCAGACTCGCGAGAGACGGCCTTGTTATCTTGATTCCCCTGAGGGCCCCGCAGTGGCGGCCAATTGACAGCTCGGTCAAAGACATCAAACTGCCGAAGTAATTCCTCCTGACGACCCTTCTCCCCGTATCACCAGGCTCCCTTCCTAAGCCCACCTACTCCTCTAAGCCCAACTGCAGCCGCCCAACACCCTGCATCAGTCCTCATGCGCAGTAACATTCTCAATGGTGGTCAACAATCACCGCAGCAGCCACCAACAACCTCAGCCTGCAACAGCCTTTAGATGCAGCCGGAGCGTGGCCAGCTGTACCGCAGCACGCAACGGTCTCCTGTAGCAGCATCCAGCG